GCGGGCGCGACCCGCTGCGGCGCGGGTGGCGGACAAAGGTGTCAGGATGGTGGTGGGGGCGGGGGGCAGCAGCAGCAAGAGTAATGACAACCGGGGTGGGGCGGGGGCCACAGCTAGTGTCGTGAGCCTTAATGCTGGAAACGGTAAAGAGGCGGGTGTCAGTGCTCATGTCAGTACAGCAGGGGTCACTGTTTGCAGGGATCAGGTCAAGACTACTGACAGCAGCCATGACAATGACAGCGACTGTAGTTTAAACACTGACTGTAAACACTCCGACTCTGAGGACAACAACAACAACAGCACGGACACTGCTGCCCCCCCCGCCACTGAGCCCCTCTGCCTGAAACCAGAAGAGGCAGTGTCCCCCAGCTCCAAACCCCCCTCCCCCTCCGCTCCCCCCAGCAGAACCACAGTGAGCTCCTTCCTGGACCCCGGCTTCTTCAAGAGTAAGAAGTCTCAGGAGCAGCTGAACGTCCTGAAGGACAGCTTTCAGGTCAGCCAGTTCCCCGACCAGGACCAAGTGGACCGCCTCTCATCGCTGACTGGGCTCCCAGTGAGGGACGTTCGCAAGTGGTTCAGCGATCGACGCTATCACTTTCGCCATCAGAAAGGGCTTCGTGGGAGTGCGGAGTCACCAAGTACTAAAGCTGGTACTGGTCCCAGTTCACCTGTCGACCCGTTAGAAAGCAGCAGCAGCAGCAGCAGCAGGAACTCGGCAGGTGGTAAACAGTCCCGACACAGCTCTGCAGCTCTTAGTCCCCCCACGCCACAGACTCCGCCCTCACCGACCCCCCCCCGCCGTCAGCCCAGACTACCTCCTCTGGACTTCACGGCTGTCCGCTACAAAGAGAGAGAACCCCACCAGGTGAGACCGCAGTAGAAGTGTGATGTTCTGTTCTGGTCCAGGTCCAGGTCCAGGTCCAGGTGAATGGTTCTGCTGGTTGGTTTATTAGGAATCAGACCAAGACTAGGACTAAGACTAGGACCAGCTCCAGTTGAGTATCACCGTAGACAGTACATGATGATGTGTCCATGCTAATGGGTCACGGCCCAGTCTGTGGGTCATATCTGAGCTCACGTTAAAGTGGAAAGTTTAAGAAGGTTTAAGATTTGGTAAACAAACGCTGTAGTACCGCTGTAGTAACTCTGTAGTACTTCTGTAGTAACTCTGTAGTACCTCTGTATTAACTCTGTAGTACCGCTGTAGTAACGCTGTAGTACTGCTGTAGTAACTCTGTAGTACTTCTGTAGTAACTCTGTATTAACTCTGTAGTAACTCTGTAGAACTGCTGTAGTAACT